AAAGAAAGAAAGAAAGAAAGAAAGAAAGAAAGAAAGAAAGAAAGAAAGAAAAAAGAAAAGAAAAAATTGGATACATTGACCAAATTCAGGTTCAGCTATTTCTTGTTTCTCTTGGCTCTTTAAATAACCCTTCTTGAACAGGGCAAGCCCTTCATAAAGCAACTTCCCCAGCTGCTGTCTCAGGGGCCAGCATGAGTTTATAGAAAAGACAATCCTCCTGTGTCCAAGTCAAAATTTTCTGCTTAAAAGAGTTTCCAAATAATGTCATTTTCCAGTCAAAGGCCTCCCCTTAGATAGCAATTTATAATATATAAATGGGTAAGCAGGAAATATTCTTGAAAGTATGAATTAAATGGCTTTGGAAAAGACATTTATTCAGCCAGTGTCTTTGGGGAATTTGTAGTCCGGTGGGAAGCACAGACAAATGAACTAAAAGTCTATAATTACTATCGTGGGGCTATGCATGGAATGCATGAGTAGCCATTACAAACGACCTCATGAGAAATAAAATTGTAGTTATGCCCAACAGTGACTGTCATAAACTAAGCAGTGGGCCAAGGCTGTACACATTAATTTGCCTGTACCATTTGCTAGGGAAGTCTTCTTATTAAGATTTCATAGATAATTCCTCTAAGGTAGTGGTTTGCAACCTTCCTAATGCTCTTTAATACAGTTCCTCATGTGGTGGTGATTCCCAACCATAAAATCATTTTGTTGCTACTTCATAACTGTATTTTTGCTTCTGTTATGAATTGTAATGTAAATATCTGATATGCAAGATATCTGATATGGGACCCCTGTGAAAAGTTCATTCGACTCCCCCAAAGGGTCATGACTCACAGGTTGAGATCCATTGCTTTCAGGCCTGGAGGTGTCCACAAACACCTTGGGTATGAACAGTTTCCACCAGGGACTCCTGTGTGAGAGGCTTGGTCCCTAGCTCATGGATCCAATCAAGGAGAGATGATTGAATCGTAAGGGCTCTGAACTGATCAATATGTTAATCCGATGATGGATTGATAGTTTGGGGAAGCAGATTATGAGGAATGCCTTGAAAAGATGTCTTGCTCCTGTCTCTCTCTTTGCTTCTCAGGCTCCATGAAGCTTTGCTCTGCTTGTCCATGGCCCAGAGACAAGAGATGAGTGACCATGAGCTGAAACCTCTGAAATTAGGAGACAAAGACCATCTAGTAAGGAAGACCCTTACCCCCTGTGCTTCTAATTACAGTGACATAAAGATGACGGAAGTTGCTGCATTGGACATTCTCCCGTAAGCTGAAAAACTCAAAATGAACATATACTGCCATCAAGGATATGCTTGGTGGCTAGTAAATGGACACTGTGAAGAGTCTGTGAAATGCCAGATACACATGTCACTTTCTCCATCATTCTCCCTAATTCTTGGAACAGCCACCATACTCTCTCTCTCTCTCTCTCTCTCTCTCTCTTTCTTTTCAGGTAGATACTAATCTACTACCCACAGTCCCATGAAATTCCTGAGCATACAGGGTTGGTAAACTCAGACATATCCTTCAAGCGTCAGTCCAAATGCCACCTCCCCTTCAGAGCTTCCTCTGACTTGCTCAGAGAGACTAAGGCTCTCTCTTGACCCACCTGTTCTCCACAGACTCCTGTGGTCTTTTCTCATTAGTGGACACAAGCCATACCCATTACCATGAACACAGACTCCAGGAAATGAAACCTCTGCCTTTAAGTTGTCTCATAGAGGAATCTGAAGATGGCGCCCGACGCACTGGCACAAACAGAAGGAGAGGTGGATGTTTCTAGAAGAAACAGGAAAGAGAAGAGACAGCCTAATTCTACCCCTCGTTGCTTTTCTCCGTTTTCCTCACCTCCTTCTCAGGTCCCTTCCTACATTGTACAATCACTGTATTTCTAGGACCAACGTCTTTGTACCAGGTTCCACTGGTACTTACCTTCTGTTTTCATTACTGTGAGGATGAAAACTTCTTTTTTGTGGCTTAGTTTTATAATTTTCTTTTAAAAGACATTCCTAAGTACCCATTACATGCAATAGGATCAGCATTAGGGTAAAAAGAGAGATGAGACCCATTCTTTGTCCCAGGAGCTTACAGGGTCATTGAGAGACACTCAACACACACAGATCACATCTTTCCTAATGGAACAGGAGACTGGTAAACATGGAGAAACCTCTGGGCTGAGCTTTATGGAAAGACCATGTCATTCGGGTGAAGAAAAATGGGAAGAAGTGTCCGAGGAAGGATATGACAGGAGCAAAGAAGAGGTTGTGTGAACATTGAACAGTGAGACATTAGTGTGAACCCTGAGGCTGGAGAGAAAAGTGAGGTCATGCTGTCTGAGGCTGTGTTCATGTGTCCAGGCTGTGTGAGGTTGTGAGGGCTAGGAGGCCTCTCTGTGGCACAGAACCAGAAAGCCAATTCACAGTAGGGGGAGGCTGAAACCAGAGTAACTCATCATTCCTAAAGCCTGAGACACAACAGTCTCAGAAATAGGATAACGGATGGAGGAGGGCAGTGAGCTAGGTCACCTTCCTGTCACGCCTTTCTCCAGATCTTCATCCGGAAGTCAGCACACAGCTCTGCTGAGAGATGACACGGAAACTTCCCTGTGCTTATGGATGAACTTCAGGATCACTTCAGGCAGAACCATCCAGCTTTCCTAGCTGCTGCTCATTTTCTATGACCACTATTTTGCACTTCTTTATTTGCGACAGGGTGTCACAGTGCAGGTCTGGCTAGCTGAGAGCTCCATCTAGACCACGCTAGCCCTGAACTCACAGAGATCCACCTACCTCTGCCTCTCTGAGTGCTGTAATTAAAGGCAGGTGTGCGCAACCACACCTGTTTTGTTTCATTTTGAAATGATCTCATTGACTATGTAGTCCAGACTGGTCTCAAGTTCGTGATCCTCCTGCCTCACTCTTCCTAGAGCCTTGCCTACAAGCATGCACCAGCAGACCCAGCTTAATTAATAAGCTTTAGGAGCTCTGTGATGCATCCAGCCGAATGCCAGTGTGTCTACACAGCCTCAACCAGGACATCTGAGAGCAGGCTGAGTCATGTTCCGCTTTATGTGTTTGCTAAAAAAGCCAGTGTCTGTCTCCCTGAAACTGCGTCCCTACCCTTAGCCCCCATGACGGCAAACTCCTGCTTGTTGTATATTATTATCCACTGAAAAGTGCTTCATATGGCCAGGGAGGCAGACATCACAGCTCTAGGACCCACTTCTGTTTCTCTAGAATGACCCCACTAAAGAAAACTACTCAACCATCAGCATAAAAAACAAATAAGGTCAAGAGATCACAATTTTAAGGCAGAACTTCCTTCTTTTCTTCCTTCCTTCCTTCCTTCCTTCCTTCCTTCCTTCCTTCCTTCCTTCCTGCATTCCTTTCTTTCTCGTCTTTTAATTGAAAAATACTAAGCTGAGCTTTCTCTCTTGCC